AAGCTAGTAAAATACCAAACACTATTCCTCAAATAGCCTTTCAGTGGATAAAAACTTCCTCTGAAAGATGAACCTTTTAACTTTCCTTCCATTATAATGATGAAAGTAGTCCTGGGAAGAAAAGGTTAAAGTTAGTAATAGGTAACCACATAAAACCTCGCATTTCTAAAGATTAAATTGATTTTTTCTCCTCTGAGGAATTCATTTTATGAAATTAGACATTATTTGGTACATATAATAACTTAATTGGCTGATAAATTAATATTCCCCCCCCCCGAGATTTGATCTGTGTTATAATTCAGGTAAGAATTTGTGACATAAATAGATAAGCTTTCATATATAAAATATTTTTCATTATTTTCATTTATTTTTCTGGTTTCAGAGGAGCTGCTAGTTTTCAGGTTTTATGGTGATGCCAGTTCTTTTCCCAGTAAAAGTTAACAGGGTTACTGCCATAACGTGTGTGTTGCACTGCATTTCCTAAGTTGGCTAAATTTCAGTAAACCCTGTGGAATACAGATGATTTCATTTACGCTTTTAGAAACTACTTGCTGTAAAATGTTATTCTGAGCTCCTTACAGTTTTCAGTATTTTAAAATATCCCTGGTAATATGTAGCATTTAGCATGCTGTATTATATTTTATTGTTTGGGGTGGTACGGGAGAGTGGTATGGAGGCTTGGCAAAAGTGAGACTTTTCTAGAATTTGAAAACTGATTCCCTCACTCCCAATTTTATAATTAAAAAGTGCCACTTCTTAATGAGGGCTGACAGTGAAGTATGAAGTCTTTCCTTTGGAGCATTATAAATCATAAATAATTTGGTGCCCCCAAATCTATCTCTGTCAACATCAGAGTATTAGGATCGTTAGAATCCATGATCCTACAATCTGAAGTCTCAGCATGTTCCCAGCAGATAACAGAGTAATTATTAAATCTCTTCAAATAAGACTCGGCTGTGGGTAAAGTTACTACTTTGTAAGGAAAAAGAACATGATCTTGCATAAACTAAATCTAGAAAAAACTGTGTTAGAAGGTCTCTGAATTGATGCATCAGGCTTGATCTCCTTTTTTCCATTCATCTGAACGAGTAGATGTTGAATTACTTTATTTGGCTGCCTTGAATCCAAGATAGAAAAGGATTAGTGTGCTGCAGTTGAGTCAGGGGTTTTGGGGGTTGGTTTGTTTGTGGTGGTTGGGTGGGTTTTTTACAATCCTGAGCTGATTTGAGTGAGACATTTCTTGTTAATCAACTGCTTCTGTTGCTTCTTTTGTAATCCAAAGGCCTCTGTAGTAAATCTTGATGGGTAGATCTTTATTTTCCTGGTGGCTAACTTCAGTCATGTGGAATAAGAAATCAAGATGTCTTGACTTACCTGCCTTTTAAGAATGACATAGGACTGCAAAACCACCTTGGGATTCATCTGCAAGGACCTTTTAAGTTTGATCAGAATGGCCCTTTGTCCTGGACCCCCAGTTCTGGAGGAGGGAGCAAAGTGATGAAAGATGTATAAGTAGAAAGGGAAAGAATGAAAACAGGTTGGTTTGTGTAGCTCCTTTGGAGTTGAGAATAGACACAAAGTCCTCTGGTGCTGGTAAAAAGCAATGAATAAACTTCGTCCTAAGGATTTAAGACCCATTTTGAACAGATCCTAGTTGTTGCATTCAATCCGATACGCAGATAATTGGTTTTCCAAGCATATTCTCTTAACTGGTTTTTAATTTGATATAATCAATACTAAATTTTCATGTACCTCTTTTTTATAGTTTTTGCATGTAGTTTTCATTTACAGCTTTTTATATGTAGCTGTTCATCTGAGTATTTTGTTGGCCTCCTGAGTAAGTTCACGTGAATTAGAGAAGCAATACGTTTTCTTGGTTATGCTAGTTTGTCCGCACCATATTCTGTTCACATAGATATTCATAGCTCTACTTTGAATTATATTTTTTTCTGTATTGAAATAGTAATGAAATGGAAATTGTTACTCTTCACAATTACTGCTCTTGTAGTAGGTACTGTACTGCCTATCTTGCAGTTGTAACTAATTTTAATAGATGACACATTTTGTGTTAGCAATTCTGCTACTTCAATGTTTAACTTTCTGCAGGTATTTTAGTTCATAATACCATCTGGTTATTGGTAACTGATGTCATTTGAATCGAAAGTGATTCACCCTGTCTTTGATGCCACCATGTTTTGCAAGTAATGAATATGAGAAAATATTAAAGTACAGATTGCCATTATTGTTCCTTTTCCATTAAATCTGATGACCAGTGTGCCCAGGACTTACACTTTAGGAGTTTTTAATGTTATCGAATGTAATGTTTTCACTTCATGATGACTGGAGCTAATCAGACCTTTTAGATCAGACTGTTAGGTCTCAAATTAGACACTGGGGCAGGAAGGTCTAGGGAAGCAACCACAGACAGGTAGTTACAGTCTCCAAAAAACTTAAGTGATTTAATTCATATGAAGATACACAGGCAAGAGTGGAGTTCAGTTCTTCAGAGTATGATATTAACTATTACCTTTATTGCCTGTATTCCAGCTGCTACAGCAGATGAAGTAGGACAGTTGCAAAAACCTGCAGAGCATGAAACAGCTCGTCCACAGAGTGAGACATCCTTAATGCTGAGTCAGGAACAGAGAAAGTATTTCCTTTGGTGGTTGTGTAACTGTGTGGTCATGTAACTAAGGACTGTACCGTGCGTACAACTGATCAACAATAAGTTCCACAGACCACTTAGATTTTTTTTTTCATATGCGATTTTATTTTTATTTTTCTATATATGATCTCCTTAATTATTTAGGATTGTTGTCCTGGAAATTTTTAAAAGAAAAAAAAAGAGGGGGTGGGAACTGGAAGTGCTTGGATGTTTATAAGATTAACACCAAGCTTAGGAATTTTTAGAGCTGCTGCATGAACTTCTGCCCTTAAGTTAATGAGAAACTTGTAGTAGTAGGTTATCTGTTTCTGTACGGAACAGCACTTGACGGGGACGAGATGTATACTTTGCTTTCAGAGATGCGATGGCGGAAGGGGAATAGTGAGGGCCAGATATCTTGGGTTTCATTGCAGACTATGAAGAAGAGCCTGTGCTAGTGGACACTTGTGCCTGTTTTGTGTTCCACCCTCAGCTTGACTCTTCCTTCTCTATTCCTTTTAGCCTGTCTTCCTCCTGCCCTAAGTACTTATCAGTTTTCATTCTATTTTCCTTCCATTCTGCCTATAAAAGCAAGCCTGGATAGCTCTTTAGAAAGGGCTATGCAGTGTTCCCATCTCATAGAGCTTATTGCATAAATGATATTTGCTGTGGCACTGTTGAAAAGCATAGAACATTAGGTTATGTGATAGGGCACAGTGTTTGCATTTTTCCTTCCTTAATCTGACTTGCGCATGAAGTTGTGCCACCAGTTTGATCAATTCTTAGACTGGAGAGTGTTTGGAATTTGTAAAAAGTTACAGCTGAAAATTCAGTAGTTTTGCAACAGCTGCATGGATAGACTGCCTTTCTAAAGCTAGTCTAGGTAGAAAAAAGTATTGTTTCAGCAGTATCATTTTAGCAGAATTACAAGGAAAGTAACTGCACTTATGTAAATGGCTGCGCAAATACAGTAATACCCTAGATCACTTACCCCGTTCCTGTTATGTGTAAGGCAGTTAGCTTGCATTTTAAGTATTCCTTGTGTATTCAGCTCTATATAAATAGCAACTATTTCAAAGAGGTGCTGCCTATGGCATGTGAAGTTAAAAAAAGTGCCCTGGCTTGATATTTAATTAGTGTGGAGCAAAGTACTCCATAGTTTTGAGAAAAGACTGCAGAAAGTACTAGTTTCCCTGGAAGTATCAGAAAGCCTTGATTCATAGACAATACTGTATTGTCAATGCGG